TGTGTGTGCGAGGGATGCCCCCCCCCCCCCCACTGCCCCATTTAAAACTTTGTGTGTTTGGAGAACCTTACGGCACCTTAGAATGAAAGAGTGGCGAAAGAGGGACCCGGATCAACGGCGAACGGGCGTGGCCTCCACGAGGGCGCGGCCTTGGCGGACGGCGGCTGCTCCGACCGTTCCGTGTCGAGCGGCGTCGGCGCCGCGCGACTTAGCCCGCTTCTTCGCCTTCGCGGCCGCACAGTAAGCACACCGTGCGTTTGCTCTTTTCCCCAGTCGTCTTGCTGATGCGCGTGCGCAGCACATATCTCCCCCTCACAGTTCCTGATGTTACCCCTTTAGAGTTGTGTTCCCCTTTAGTCCTCTTTGGCGCGGGCGTGGTGGTGTATATAGAAAGGACAGTCGTATACATGATACGAGGGCAACATTATATGCGACGGCTTGTCAGTTTGTAAGTTTCCCGATCAAGATAGATAGGAACGCAGGGTCGATCGAGTTACACAAGCACTGCGTGGCTTGAGAGTTACACAAGCACTGCGTTTTCCCACCCCGCTCCCTGGCACTGCTGACCTCGAGCTGCTGACCAGAGTGACCTCCTCGCATCGCAGCCCTTCCGGCGCCCGCCCCCCGGCGTCGCGGCCGTCTATGTAGTCAGTGAGTCAGACAGACCGCTGACGTGACGTGTATACACACACGTTCGGCTCAAGGCATGGACGCGACCGCAGCTGTTTTTGTCGGAACCTCTCACATCGCGAGAGAGTTGAAGGCCCGCACTGCCGCAGCTGATTCGGCGATAGATTTTTTTCATTTTTGACCGCGCAAGACAAAGGGTGTCCTAAGGGCTCTGCTCGCAAGGCGCCCGCGTCGCAGACGCGGTACCATTGACAAATCTGCAATATACCCCCACACGAGCAAATAGCAAAATCCGAATACCGTGCACGAACTGCGTGATGTCGGACCCAACCAAGCCTTCAGCTGGTGCCAAGACGTAAAGTTGAAAGCAGAACGTCCGCCAAATCCGTGCTTTCGCGCAACTTGAGGGGAAGCCGCTGACGTGCCCGCGGCGCCGCGCAGCACCGCCGCTGCTGAATCGGATCGATCCATGGAGGAGGAGGGCGCAGTCGGCCAGCGCAGCAGGCGGAGTCCCTCCCCGCGCCGGAGCCCCCCTGCAGTCGGGGGAGTCCTCGTTGGCGATGAAGGTGGCGACATCGAATCGCGGCCGACAGACGTCACGTGGGAGGAATGGGCGATGAGCGGGAACGATGCGCGCTACGACGCCAACTCCGCCGTGCTCGTGGCCGCCAAGCAGAAAGCCGCGCTCCAGGAGCACGCCAAGATGCAACGGCTCGCTTGCTTCGATTCAGCTCTCTCGGCAGCAGAAGTGGGGCTGGAGCGGGTGGGGGTGGATGCCGATTGAGGGGGAGCGTCTCCAGCTGCGCCCTGTGGCAGCTATCTGCAGCTGCGCCCTGTGGCAGCTAGTCGAGGGACTTGGTAGTTGTGACCCCCCTGAGTGAGGACAGGAGAGAGAGAGCGTTTTGTGGTGTTGGTGTACGCAATAACGGGACAGGGTGGTTGTTCTCTCTATCTCCTCTTCTAGCTCTTAGCATGAGCTGCGCCCGGTGTCCGACCCCTTTTGCGCAGCAACACCTTAAACTTTTAGGCCCTCCAAATTCGGGTCGGAGCGTAGCGGAGTGGGCCCCGAGTTTGAAAAGGGCGACGGACGCTTGCGTCCTAGCCTCCAACAACGCCTCCCCGGCGCAGAGGGGCCCCCGGAGGGATGCACAACCGCTCCACGCCACGCCGCTTGCGGCGGTCCTCTTCCCAGCTCCGCTGAGGGCCCGCGCGTTATTCATTTTTGACCGCGCAAGACAAAGGGTGGCTCAGGGCTCTGCCCGCAAGGCGCCCGCGTCGCCGACGCGGTACCATTGACTAATCCCGGGATTCACACCCACAGACCAAATAGCGAAAATCCGAATACGTGCAAAAACCACGGAATCTGCGACGAAGAACGTCGGTTCAAGTTTGGAAAACGCTAAACATGGGCGATCCGGCGCTTCCTTCGATTGGACGGACGAAATGATCGCGGAAAACGGGACCATCATCGCGACATCGGGAGTTCACCATATGCCGAGCCTGCTCGGCCCGCCATGCGCGCGCGCCTCGCCCGAGCGCAGCCACCTGCGGCCTGGCCAGCCTGTTCCTGGCTCGTGCCCAGCCTCTCCTTCTGCTGCCGCCGGCCTCGCAGTCCCGCCAGCCATGCTGCAGAGCCTGCGTAGACGCCACAGACGCCAATTCTGCAGCCCACAGCCCTGGCAACTCGAGGGCCAGCAGTATACGACGATGACGACATCTCACACCCCGCGCTGGCCAGCGCCATCAGCCCCTCACAGCCCGGCCCAACCTCCCTTCGCCTCGCCTCCAGCGCCTCCAATCAAGTCGCACCTCTCTTCTTCAGCGAATGCAGCGGCAGCACCACGTCAGAGGCCGGGCCGACTGGCGGACCTGCATGCCCAGCCATGCCCCCCACTCCCCACCCGCTTGGATGGATCGATCAGCTGACAGCTCCACCAGCTCCCACCACAGTGTGTCGTGTCATGAAGCATGATAGATAGACATAGAAAGCAAAACAAAAACAAAACAAATGAACCATCGAAAGGTCTGATCTCCAAAAAGAGCTCTCGGCCTGCCGCGCGCGCCCGCGCCCCGCCCCTTTTGCGCAGCAACACCTTAAACTTCATGGCCCTCCAAATTCGGGTCGGAGCGTAGCGGAGTGTGGGACCCGAGTTTGAAAAAGGCGACGGACGCTTGCGTCCTAGCCTCCAACAACGCCTCCCCGGCGCAGGGTGGCCTCCGGAGGGATGCTCAACCGCCCCACGCCACGCCGCTTGAGGCGGTCCCCAGCTCGCGGGGCCACTTCTTATTTGGCATTTGACGTTGAAGATGAGCGCGCGCGTCACAGCGCAGGCCAGGTCTACACTGGCCGCGGCACCAGCTCCCGCGGTCTGCACGCTAGGTAGGAGTGGTCCGCCCTCGCAATGAATGCGGAATACTATTACGAAAAGTACAACTAGTGCGACACACTAGTCAGTCTCGTAATCGCGCCAAGAGCGCGGATACACACACAAACAACAGGCGCGGCTATGAAAGCTGCGCATAGCGATATCGACTGTTCACAGTTGATGACACGCTGTGCCCTTCCAAAACCGGCGTTTGAAGTAAAGCAAGCGCTCGTCGGCCCGAGCTGTTTGAGGGCCGCCACGAGAGCGCGTCGGGGCGTCGTGGTCCCCATGGTCGCTCTCACCGCCGAATCGCTCTGCTCCACTTCCGCCTGCCTCTCCTCGGCGAGCGGCAGCGTTACCATCGGCGACGCACGAGGGTGGAACGACGCGTTCGGCGTCGGCCTAACGGCTGCCTACGGCATAAACAAGCTGCTCCACGTTCCGCTCAACACTTCAATCATCTTCAAGTACGGCGGAACGCATACGGTCTTTGTCGCCGACAGCGAGGCGTGAACGGCTGGCCCACACGCGGTGGCTCCTGCACACCTCCCACCCACAGCTCTCTGCTTCGCTCGCAGGACGCCTTCGGCGACTGCACTCTGAGCGGCACGCGAGTCGCGAGCTTCGATCACGGCGGAGGATCAACGGGCGGCGACTTTCCAAACCAGTACTCGGCCGTCGTCACGGCTCCCGGCGTGCTCCACTTCCTCTGCGAGCCACACTGCTTATCGGGCCAGAGGATGCGGGTCGCCGTCGGCATGGAGGTGGCGCCCGAGGCGCCGCCGCCGCCTCCGCCGCCGTTTCCGCCGCCATCGCCGCCATCGCTGCCGCCGTCGCTGCCGCCGCCTCCGCCCGCGCCGCTCCCGCCTCCGCCTCCCGCGGCGCCTCGGCCTCCCTACGCCCCAGGCGGCGCGGTGCGGCTGCTCAAGTCGGTGCCGGGCGAGCTGCAGCTACTGTGGGGCACCTCCTCCGCCACGGGGGTCAAGACGCTGCACGGCCGATCGTTCGACGGCAAGGACTGGGACGCGGCCAAGCTGATCGCGCCCCTGCTCTGGTCCTGCGACGCGGACGCGTGCGAGGCCGAGCTGCCTACCTCCTCCGCCTCCGCGGGGATGGGGATGGGGATGGAAGACGAGTACGACCAGCTCACCTACTCCATCGAGGTGATCACCGCGGGCCCTGCCGCGAACGAGACGCTCGCCGCGCGCTTCCTCCAGCAGGCCACGTTCGGCTCGACGCGCGCGGACATTGCGCATGCCCTCAAGCTGCCCGCCGCGGAGTGGATCGAGGAGCAGATGAAGCTGCCCGCGACACTGCATCGCACCTGGTACCGCCACCGCTCGAACCAGCTCGTGCTGACCGCGACGCCGCCGGGCAACGTGCGCTCGCCGTGCGAGGCGGGCTCCCGCTGGACGAGGCACGCGCTGCACGAGCTCGACGAGCGCGCACAGGTTAGAGCTCCCCCCCCCCCCCCCCCCCCCCCCCCCCGCCCCCCCCGCGCCCCCCCCCCACCCCCCCCCTCTCCACCTCCCACCTCCCCAGATGCCGCCCGCCCCAAAGCGCCAGCACTGCAGCGGAGAGGAGCTTGGAGAGGAGCTCGCAGATCACGCGCGCTTGTGCTCGCGGCGGCTCGCAGGTGGTACGAGACCGACCGCCGGCACGTGCACTACATCACGGGCCTGCTGCCCGACATGAACAACAGAATCTGCGGCAGCAACGTCAACCGGATGTCTCGCTGGCTCAAGACGGAGGAGGGCTCGTGCAGCGAGCCGACTCGGATCTGCGACGAGCCGGACCCGGGCAGCCTCATCGAGTTGAGTGGCGGCAACGACAACAGCGCCACCGACCTCGCGGCGTGCACCGGCGAGTGCGACTCCGACGCCCAGTGCGCCGCCGGGCTGCTCTGCTTCCAGCGGTCGGACAATGAGACGATCCCCGGCTGCAAAGGGCCGGGCGGAGGGCGCGACTGGGACTACTGCTACGACCCGAGCGGCCTCGTCGAGCTGTCCGGCGGCAACGACAACAGCGCCACCGACCTCGCGGCGTGCACCGGCGAGTGCGACTCCGACGCCCAGTGCGCCGCCGGGCTGAGGTGCTTCCAGCGCTCGAATGGCGAGACGATTCCCGGCTGCTTCGGTCCCGGAGGGGGCAGGAACTGGGACTACTGCTACGACCCGTGCATCCCCCAAGAGCACGCCTCGTCGGTGCTGACCGCGATCAACAGCAGCGACGGCGCGGCGAGCTCGAGCATCCGAGACATCAGCATCACAGGCCCGTGCGGCGGCGCCTTGCGCGGCGCCTCGATCTCCGACAAGGAGCGGGGCGGCTGCTGGCGGCACGTCCACCCGGAGACAGGAAACGTCTACGACTTTTCGTATTGGGTCTCCGCCCACGAGGGCATCGCGCGAGCGGAGCAGCGCTACAACCCGGTCGCCGCGCCGGCGCGCGAGGGCAAAGCCTACATGACCTTTCCCGACAACATCTGCACCTACTCCCGCACCGACATGCGCTGCTGGAGCGACTACAAGCGCTACTTTCAGTTCGTCGGCCTGCTCGACGAGACGCTCGCCTTTAGCGCGTTGCCTCTGCCTCTGCAGACGGCAGGAGTGGCACCTGCGGGCGCGGTCGGCACGCGGCGCGCCGAAGGCTTCGAGGCGTGCGGCTCTCGCCGGGCGTGGATAGGGGTCGCAGGTATTGGAATTGAGGTTGCCTACTGCTTCTAGGCGTGCGGCTCGCCGGGTGAGACGGCCAACGACCCGCGCCTGCCGCACAGCTACGGCGCGCTTCGCCAGTCTCGCCGCGCACACACCCGCACCAGCCTCGCCCATCAGCCTCGCCGCTGCAGCCCAGCCCCCCCCCACCCCCCCTCGCCCCGTCTTGTGCCAGGCGTGCGCATGCAGCTACGTGGCGAGGACACCCTCTTCCTCCACCGCCCCATCAGCGACCGCGAGAACTCGCGCGCGATGGTGCACAACAATGTCGCCGTGTACGCGCACGACCAGCTCCGGCAGCGCGCCGCCTGGGCGCTCTCCCAGGTCCTCGTGGTCGGCGCGGACAATGACGATGACACGGAGCGCTGGCTGGCCTACTACGACATCTTCGTGCGGCACGCCTTTGGCAGCTTCCGCGACGTGCTCCGCGAGGTCTCCTACTCGCCAATCATGGGCGACTGGCTCACCTACGAGGGGGTGCGCTCGCGCGCGCTCTCGGGCAAGTTCCCCGACGGTGCGCACTCCCCCCCCCGTCCCCCCCCGTCCCCCCCGTCCCCCCCCCCGTCCCCCCCCCGTCCCCCCCCCGTCCCCCCCCGTCCCCCGCGCCTCGACTCTGTGCTCCCCGCCCGACGCCCGTGCCCCGGCCGTGCAGAGAACTACGCGCGCGAGATCATGCAGCTCTTCACGATCGGCCTCTGGCAGCTGCAACCCGACGGCACGCGCGAGCTCGACGGCGACGGCAAGCCGATCCGAACCTGTGAGCTCCCCCCACCCCCACCCCAGCCCCGACCCCCTCTCGCTCTTGCGCCGGCCGATCCCTCGGGGCCGCGCCCGCCGGCCCCCTCCCCCTACCGCGCGCGCGCATCTGCCCTTCCACTTCCTCACCGCCCCCTTCCGGCCGCGCAGACGACGATCACGACATCGTCACCTTTGCGAGGGCGTGGACGGGCTTCCACCGCGTGGCTCCCCGCGCCAACATCGCGCAGGAGGAGCGCGGCAACAACAACAAGAACAGCATCGACCCGATGCGCATCGAGCCCGACGACCGCGACTTCTTGCCAAAGATCGACCTGTACGACGGCTTCATTGGCGACGGCTACCCCCTGTGCACCGACCTGCCGCCGCGCTCCTTTCTGCGGCGCGGCGGCACCTTCGTGCGCCGCGCCTCCCCCGGCGAGTTCGACGACCGCGCCACCGACGTCCTCGAGCCCGAGCGGGGCTCGCCGCTCCACGCGGCGCTCTGTGCCGCGCCGGGAGCGGGCGCGCCCTGCGACTTCCCGTCGCAGCTCACGCTCGACGCCAACCTGGCGTGCGCCGGCGGCGAGTGCAGCGTCGGCCGGATCGACGCGGTCAAGCTGGTGGACGGCGACGCCATCGGCTGGTTCGAGTTCAAGCCCCCTCCGTGCGTCGAGCTCGCCTTCTTCGCGGACGGACGGCTCTTCTCCGGCGAGCAGGGCGTGCGGCAGTGCGCGAGCCAGTCCGTGCTTGACGCAAGCCTTGGGAGGGAGGCGCCCGCCTACACAACCGTCACGCCGCCGCTGCTCGACGGCAGGGCCAGTCCGCCGCCCCCGTCGCCAAGCCCGCCGCCACCCTCTCCGCGCCCGCCGCCTCCTCTGCCGCCGCCGCTGCCGCCGTACACGCCACCCGCCGCGCCGCCCTCCCCTCCGGCCTCGCCGCCACCCAGTCCGCCGCCGCCGCCGTCGCCACCGCCTCCGCCGCCTAGCCCGCCGTGGTACTACCCCTACCCAAGGCCGCCGCCGCTGCCACCACCGCCGCCCTCGCCGCCGCCGCTCGCACCGCCGCCTCCGCTCTACCCCGAGGGCGCCTTCTTCGACCTCATAGACGGCAACGCAAGCGACTTCGGCACTTGGGTCGGCCAGTGCCGTTGCCCGAGTGGCGAGGTGTACCTCGTCGGAGACCACTACGTGCGCCTCCCCTCCCGCCTCCCCCTCTCCGAACACCCAATCCTCCGAACACCGTACCCACAGTTGATCGCACCGCTCGGCCTCTCTCACCTCTGGCAAGGGCCCGCTCACCCTTTCGTGGACCGGGCCGCTCGCCCCCTCAGGACGGCTGCGGGAGTCTCGCCTGCGTCGGAGGCACATCCTGGGGCTGCGCCCCCCCCAAGGACCCGCCTGCGGACCCGCCGGCGCTGCCGGCCGTCGGCGCAGTCCTGTCGAGCACCTACAACTCGAACTACGAGGCTGAGAAGTGCATCGACGGCGAATGGCCAATGCACAAAATGTGCCACTCGAAGAGCAACTCGTACTCGCCGTGGCTCGAGATCGACCTGGGCTCGCATCCCCGCCTCCCAACGCACGTCCCACCACGCCCTCCCGCTGAGCCCTCGAGGTGCCACGTATAGGCGAGACGCGGCAGATTGGGACCGTGACGATCCACAACCGGCGGGGCTGTTCGGGGTGCCGGGACCGGCTCGGGGCTTGGGAGCTGTGGGTCTCGGACGTGCCGGGCACCTTTTGCTCCGCCTCCAACGAGTACGGCATACGGCTCTGCGAAGCGTCCACGCCGCGGGCTCGCTTGTGCGCCAGCGGCGAGTACACCCACGCCTCCGACGGCGACGACTTCACCACCCTGTGCGCCGGCCTCGGCCGTTACGTGACGCTGAGGCTGCCGGGCCGCAGCCGCACGCTCAACGTGGCCGAAGTGCAGGTCTTCGCGTCGCAGGGAAAGCACACTCGTGCCAGGTGCCGCGTGCTCGCGCCGCCCTCGCCGCCTCTGCCGGCGCCGCCGCCGCCCCAGTACCCGCCAGAGCTCGGCCCTAACGTCGTCCTGCACGATGCTCCGGGCGTCGGCGGCTGGACCGGCTGGTGCACTTGCCCGAACGGCGAGCGCTACGCTGTCGGCGACCAGTACAACGGCTGCGGCTCGCTCGCCTGCATCGGAGGCAGCTCCTCGGACTGCTCGTGGGAGTCGGGGCGGCCGCACGCGCACGGCGCGCGCACCCAGGTGACGTGCGCCTCTTCGGGCGACCTTGACTCGTGCGGCCTGCGGCTGCAAGTGCAAGAGACCGGCTTCGTCAGCCTGGTGCAGGAGGACACGTCGGACAACTGGCTCGGCTCTCCCGGGCCCGGCCGGCCCAGCTACGGCCGCTGGTCCGACCGGTTCGCAGTCGACTCGGGAGAGGTGTGGCGCGTGCGGTGGGAGGGCGGCTCGTACCCGACCGTCGCCGGCGGCTGCTCCGTGCAGGGCGAGGACAACCCGGAGTACACCGAGGAGGCGCCCGCAGAGAACAGCCGCTTCACGTACTCGGACAAGAGCGTCGCTGCCGAGAATTGGTGGGCCGCCACCTTCGAGGAGGCGGCCCGGTGGTGCGACCGCGACTCGAGCTGCAAGTACGTCATCGACCGCGTGTGGAGCGGCCAGTCGCACTTCTCTGCCGTGTCGCGCGTGTGGAGGACCGCGTGGGGCACCGCCCCCGTCTGGGCCAAGCCACCGGGGAGGCGCCTGCCCGCCTGCGAGCCGCACGGGTCGACCTGCGTGTGCGAGACGTCCGTCGAGTCGAGCGCAGTCTTCGTCGGCACGGACGCGCCGCCCATCGACGCCGCGAGAGAGCTGCTGCGGATCGGCGCGCCGCACGTCGCAATGTTCGACGCGGGCACTTACTCCTCGCTGGCGTCGGGGCCGGGCGGGGTCGAGGCCTTCGTGCGCGCAGGCTCGGGCCAGCTCGACGAAAACGCCATCGTCGCCTTCCCCGTCAACGGCACGACGCGCCACTACTTCAACAAGGCGTCGACCGTCCGCATCGGCTCGAGCGACTCGACACTGACCCCGCACTCCTTCCGCAACCCGCCGCACTTCGTCTCCTTCCTGTTCAAGGGAGCGACGCGCCACGCCGCCGCCAACGAGATCGAGGAGGTGCTTTCGCACCTCTTCCTCCACAAGAATGTGGCGCCCTTCCAGTGCCGCCGGCTCATCCAGCGCTTCGTGACCTCCAACCCGTCGCCCACGTACATCCGCCACTGCGCGGAGGCCTTCGTCTCGGGCGAGCACGACGGCGTCACGTACAGCGGCGAGTACGGCGACCTCGGCGCCGCGGTTGCCGCCGTGCTGCTCGACGACGAGGCGCGATCCGAGATCCTCGACGCCGACCCCACCTTTGGCAAGCTCAAGGAGCCGCTGATGAAGGTGCTCTGGCTGCTGCGCGCCCTCGAGTTCACCCCCGCCGACGGCCGCGAGCTCGAGCTCGACGAGATGCAGGACTGCATCGGCCAGCAGGCGCACCAGGCGCCGTCCGTCTTCAACTTTTACAAGCCCGACTCGAGCCCGCCGGGCGTCGCTCGCGACGCGGCCGTCTTCGCGCCCGAGGGCGAGCTGGGCACGTCGCCGCTGCTGATCTGCCTCCTCAACGGCCTCTCTTCCCTCGTCATGCGCGCCGGCCTCACTTCGTGCGAGCAAGGATTCGGCTCCACGAACCAGCGCCGGTGCGGCTCGGAGGACTCCGGACAGGATTTTGGCCGCGGTGTCGACGCGACCATGGGCTTCACGCCCGCGAGCGACGACGCGGAGGCTGTCGTCGACGAGCTCGATCTGCTCTTGACGGGCGGCCGTCTCTCGCCCCACGTGCGTCAAGTGATCCTGAGAAAGTACCTGCACCGCAAAGACGGCTGGGGGGAGGAGGACGCGGTCCTGCACGCCATGCAGCTCTTCACCCTCTCGCTCGAGTTCCACTCGACCAACTTCAACGCGCTCGGCGAGCCGCGCGTGAAATCCGCATACACCACTGTCGGCGGCGTGCGCGGCGACTACAAGGCGGTCGTCGTGCTCTTCATGAATGGCGGACTGGACTCGTACTCGCTACTCGTGCCGCACTCTGGCTGCGAGCCGCACCCGACCCACGCGGATCTGCACGCCGAGTACATGGAGGTGCGCGGCGTCGTCGCCTTCCAGAAGACGGACCTGCTGCAGATCGACGTGCCCGACGGAGGACCGAACAAGACCCACCCGTGCTCGCGCATGGGACTCAACCCGGTGAGCGACACAGTCAAGGACCTCTACGAGGACGGCTCGCTCGCCCTGCTCGCAAACATCGGCAGTCTGATCGACCCGGTCGCCGACAAGCACGAGTACCGCTCGGGCTCTTTGCGACTTCCGCCGGGCCTCTTCTCCCACTCGGTGCGCCGTGCAAGCCTGACATCACCAGCCCACCTGGTCAGGCACCCACAGTCCCTCAGCTCTGCATTCGCTGCGTCTCCTCGTGTCCGTCTCGCCGTCCCACGTCACAAGACTGGTCGATTGGACCACGAGCATATCCCCCACCCTCATGCCCGCTTGCTCCATCGCGCGAACAGGACCAGCAGGAGGCGGCTCAGAACGTGTACGCGCAGAGCATGGCGATGAGCGGCGTGCTTGGCCGCATCATGGGCGTGCTCACCGACTACGACTCACCGTTTGAGGTCGAGTCGTACTCCATCTCGGGCAGCGGCCTCATCCTCGAGGGCGGGCCGGTGCCGCCGACGACTGTCGATGACTCGGGCAGCAACCGCTTCGGCTGGTACTCGTCCGTCTCGTCCGACCTCGACGAGATGCTGGCCAACTCATCGCGCTCCGTCTTTGGGGAGACGATGGCGCGCCAGATGCAGGCCGCGTTCGAGGCGACCGAGAACCTCGGCCAGCGCCTCGCCGACTCAACGACAGCGACGGCCTTCGGCAACTCCGGCATCGAGCGCCAATTTGAGCAGGTGGCCAAGGTCATCAACGCCGCTCGCAAGGGCGCCTGGACCGGCAAGCCCGAGCGGCAAGCCTTCTTCGTCCAGCAGGGCGGTTTCGACGCGCACGGTGGGCCTGCAGGCACTCAAAACGGGTTGGCCAACATCGACAACGCTCTGTCCTCCTTCACCACCGAGATGCTTGTGACGGGCGCGTGGGACGATGTCGTGGTGCTCACCGCGTCTGACTTTGTGCGCACGCACTGATCCGGTACTTGGACTACTTGGAGCCCGTGCTGCTGACCCCCCCCCCCCCCCTTTCATCAGGCGCGCACGCTCACGGACAATGGCCTAGGCACCGATCACGGTTGGGGTGGCAACATGTTCATCGCCGGAGGCCTGGTTCGGGGCGGACAGGTGTTTGGCAAGTTTCCCAACCGCTACGCCGAGTGCGACGACGGCTGTCCGCTCAACATTGACGCGCGTGGACGCCTTATCCCCACGACGCCATGGGAGGGCGTGTGGATGGGGGTCGCCGAGTGGTTCGGTGTCCTACAGGAGCGGCTCGACGAGATTCTGCCAAATGCGAAGCTCTTTGAGGCCGAGGGGCGTCGGACCGAGGAGGACATTTCGATGTACCATCCCGACAAGCCCATCCTCGACCAACACGACCTGTTCAAGCCGGCGCCCCCGTCGCCGCCCGCAACCCCCCCGGCACCGCCACATCCGCCGCCCGGCCCTCGGCCGCAGGCTTGCCTCCCGCTGGTGGAGGACCGCTTCTGCTATGGGACGAGCCACACGGCGCAAATGCGCCCCGCCGTTGACGCCGCCGACTGCCGCGCCGCCTGCACCGATTACAGCGAGGCCAACAGCCAGCAGGGCTGCTGCCGCTTCACGCCGCACGCCGAGGGTGTATCGGACCGCTCCTGCGACTTCTCCCTCGGTGATAAGCGCATCACGGGCGGTGACTGGCAGCCAAGCGTTGACCGGCTCAACCTCTTCGAGGGCTCCTCTGGAGAGTGCTGTCCGCGACGCGGCAGAGACGGCGCCTGCAACGCCGATGAGATCAAGCCGATGCCGCCCACGCCGTCGCCGCCTCCTCCGCCGACGCCGAGCCCTCCTCCACCGCCGCCGCCTACTCCGTCGCCGCCGCCACCAATGCCGCCCCCGCCTCCTCCCCCGCCCCCGCCACGGGCGCCCGCAGTGCCGTTGACCAGCGGCACCTTCAAGCTGAGCAGAAGCAACGAGCTGGCGAGAGGGACGCTGTCGACATCCTACAGCCTCAGCTTCACCATCACACCCAACATGATACAAGCCGGCTGGGGCTCAATCGCGCATGTCACCACCGACGGCAACTGCTGCAACTACGGACAGCGCTCGCCTGCGATCTGGTTCTTTCCGAACACTTGGACGCTCTATGTCGTGGACGGGCACCCGAGCAACGGAAACGATGAGGTTTGTTCGGGCAGCGAACGGCCAACGCTCGAGAAGGACATAACGTACTTGATTGAGGTGGTGTCCCATCCCGACTCGACAACTCTGCTCGTGGACGGCGTCACGCGCTGCCACGACGCGCGCGCCGACCGATCGGTCTTACACGACGTCAAGGTTTACTTCTCTGACCCGTGGCACAGCCCCGCCGACGCCGAGGTGAGCGACGTCATCATGACGGGCCTGCTCCTCTCGTCGCCTCCTCCCTCGCCCCCGCCACGGGCGCCCGCAGTGCCGTTGACCAGCGGCACCTTCAAGCTGAGCAGAAGCAACGAGCTGGCGACAGGCCTGACGCTGTCGACATCCTACAGCCTCAGCTTCACCATCACACCCAACATGACACAAGCCGACTGGGGCTCAATCGCGCATGTCACCACCGGCGGCAACTGCTGCAACTACGGACAGCGCTCGCCTGCGATCTGGTTCATTCCGAACACCCGGAATCTCTATGTCGTGGACGGGCACCCGAGCAACGGAAACGATGAGGTTTGTTCCTGGTCGCAACGGCCAACGCTCGAGAAGGACATAACGTACTTGATTGAGGTGGTGTCCGATCCCGACTCGACAACTCTGCTCGTGGACGGCGTCACGCGCTGCCACGAAGCGCGCGACGGAGACCGAGAGGTCTTACACGACGTCAAGGTTTACTTCTCTGAACCGTGGCACAGCCCCGCCGACGCCGAGGTGAGCGACGTCATCATGACGGGCCTGCTCGACTCGCCGTCGCCGCCGCCGCCTCGCTGGCCCGCGTCCTTCGAGCCACCGCCGAGCCCACCGCGGCCGCCGTCGTCGCCTCCGCCACGTCCACCTCCGCCGCCGTCGCCGTTGCCTCCGCCGCCTCGCCCGCCGCCGCCGCCGTCGCCAAGGCCGCCGCCGCCGTCGCCAAGGCCTCCGCCGCCTAGCCCGCTGCCGCCGCCGCCGTCACCGCCGCCGCCACCACCACCGCCGAATCCTTCGCCGCCGCCGCCCATCAACCCGATTCCGCCAGCATCGCCGCCGCCGCCGCAGCCCCGGGCCCCGCCCGGATGGAGCGTGGCTGCTAGTGACGCGTTTCCCGGCGCAAGCGGCTGGAGTAGCAACCGAGAGCTCATCCACACCAGCTGCGGCTCCTTCGGCGAGATGCTCGGAGGCTACAACGTCTTTGGCAGTGGCGCCTACATCGAGAAGACCTTCGACCTGAGCGATGCTCCGCCGCACGGCTTGGTGCGTGTCGAGGTGATGTTCGTGGCGATCGACTCTTGGGACTGGGAGGACGCGCAGGTGTTGGTTGACGGCAACCTCGTCGCCTCTCACCAGATCCGCTACGGCGGGTCGAACCAGTGCGGCGGAGGCTGGAGCGACTACGGGCCGGTGGAGCTCGCCGCGGTCGTGGTGACCTCAGCCGTCAACCTGCCAGTCCGGATCACCTCCACCGTCAACCAAGGAGCGAGCGACGAGTCGTGGGGCGTGCAGAGCGTGCGAATCTTTGTCGCGAATGCGCCGCCGTCGCCGCCGCTCCAGCCGCCGTTGTCGCCCTCGCCGCCCTCGCCTCCAGCACCCCCAGCCATCCCACCCGCGCCGCCGTCCCCGCCGCCATCCCCGCCTCCCTCGCCACACCCGCCAGCCGCCCCCGGCTGGACCCTTGCCGCCGCCGATACTTTCCCCGGCGCCACCGGCTGGAGCAGCAACAGGCTCCTCGCCCGCACCAGCTGCGGCTCCTTCGGCGAGATGCTCGGAGGCTACGGCGTCTTTGGCAGTGGCGCCTACATCGACAAGACCTTCGACCTGAGCGATGCTCCGCCGCACGGCGTGGTGCGTGTCGAGGTGATGTTCGTGGCGATCGACTCGTGGGACGTGGGGGAGAGCGCCCAGGTGTGGGTTGGCGACAGCCTCGTCACATCGTGGGAACGGCGTGTGGGAGGGTCGAACCAGTGCGGCGGAGGCTGGAGCGACTACGGGCCGGTGGAGCTCGCCGCGGTCGTGGTGACCTCAGCCGTCAACCTGCCAGTCCGGATCACCTCCACCGTCAACCAAGGAGCGAGCGACGAGTCGTGGGGCGTGCAGGGCGTGCGAATCTTTGTCGCGAATGCGCCGCCGTCGCCGCCGCCCCAGCCGCCGCCGCCCGCTTTGCCCCCGTCGCCGCCGCCGGCCATGCCACCGTTCTTGCCGCCGCCATCGCCGCCATCGCCGCCATCGCCGCCGATGTCGCCGCCATCGCCTCCGCCGGTGAGCGATGCCGCCAGCTGCGCCGCCCACGAATGCTGCCTCGTCCTGCTCGCTGGCGCTCGCGGCAGCAACTGCGCGCCGGTGCCGGTGTGGGGGATGGAGGGCGATGTCCGCGATTTTTACGATCGGCGATCAATGTGCGGGAGCGTCATTGCCTACTGGGCCGAGGAGGCCAGGCTGCTCTGGGTGCCGGACAGCGACCCCGAGGATGCAAGTGCGACTCACCAACAACTGCTCCTCTCCAACAACGGCGGGGTTGGGCGCCGCGCCGGCACGTACATCGACGTCGAGTGCAACCCTCGGCCCCCCGCGCCACCCTCGGCGCCGCCAGTGCCGCCGTCACCGCCCTCGCCGCCGCCGCCCTCCCCGCCGCCTCCGGCTGTCGACTCCCCGCCCCCGTCGCCGCCGCCAGCCACGCCAACGACCGAGCCCACTCACTGGGACATCGACTGGGGCTTCTCGTGCGCCTCGCCAAATTGCCCGGCCGCGTCGCGCTACGACGTCCGTACCTGCGACACAGTCACGTGGACGATTGAGGACGGGATGCACGACGTCGTCTCGGGCCCACGCGGTGCGGCGGATGGCCATTTCAACAGCGGCCTGCTTAGCACCGGCGAGACATTCACCGTCAAGTTTGATGAGGCTGGCTCTTACCAATACCACTGCACACCGCACGGAACCATGAACGCCGTCATCGTCGTTCAAGGCGAACCTTGCCCCAACTCTCCCCCCACCCCCCCGTTGCTGGCATCCTCGCCGCCGCCGCCGCCGCCGCCGCAGCCCCCCGCCTCACCGACGGTGACGCTTCCACCGGCGCAGTGCACCGTCGTCGGAGCCGGGCCGGGCGGCGTCCTAGCGGCGGACGTGATGGCGGGCGCCGACGGGTGCGGGGGTTCACTACGGCTCTTTGAGCGAGGGGATCTGCCACTCGAGGGGACGTACGACACGCTGCCGTTCTTCGAGACCTTCAACAAGCAAGAGGTGTACATTGTGGGTACGTACAATGGCGCCGAGCTGCCGTTTGCCGGTGTGTTTGGCGGGCAGCAGACAACAAACGGCGGGGTGTTCGCTCCGGGCACCGCGGCGGAATTGGCTGCAGGGCTCGCGATCGGCACTGCGGCAGCCCAGGCGGCGCAAGCCTGCGCGGCTGCCTCGGTCAACGCCACTTACTGGAAGCCGCTGCTCGGAGCCGTGCCCCCGCCCGTGCAACACATCGAGGGCCAGACCCTGCTCGATCACAATGGCATGCTCGCGACCTGTGTCAACGAGACGGGCTGCGCCTGGGGCGACATGCTCATGCCTCCGGGCTTCCACACCCCAGGGAGTGCCGACTCCATCCGCCGCCGCACCGTCGCGCACGGTGTGCACGGCAGTGGCGCGCCCGACTATGCCACCTTGGGCGCGGAGGTGCGCTCGATCGACTTTGAGGAGGATCCGGACAGCGGCGAGCTGATGGCGGCGGCAGTCCGTCTCTCGGACGGCACAGTCTCCCCGGTGGCTGACGGCGGCAAGGTTCTCCTCGCCGCCAGCTCGATTGGCTCGGCCAGCATCTTGGCGCGCAGCCGACCGGACCTCTACTCCTCATTCACCTTCAACAATCACTACTACACTGCAAGCTTCCTACTCCCCTCGTCCGTGTGCGTCCCGGCCGGCGACGGTGAGGTCTGCGGCGAAGGGCCGCCGGCGAGCACCCACTCGCACAACTGGAACTACGGCTTCGTCACGCCCGGCAACGGCGACTGCGCGGGCCAATCGTTCGAGGTGGACCTCCGCGGGAACTACCCGGTGCCAGACGCGCCCTACCAGGTCATCCTGCTGCAGATGGAGCCCGAGATGCGCTCGCACGGCGGCTGGAACGCCTCGACGGGCTTGATTGACCTCGTTGACGAGCCGCCCACCGAATGCGACCTGCTCGCGCGCCGGCAGGCGATCAACATCACCTCAGCGTCGTGGGGCGCATTCACGCCCGGCTTCTCCCTCGACTCCTCCCACGCCGCCGTCGCCGCCTGGCCGCAAGGGTGGCACTGGGCCGGCGGAATACCTCTCGTCGATGGCTCGTCGCGTGTCGCCGGCACGACGAACGTCTTCTCGGCCGACGCCGGTGCTGTGCGCAAGCCCTTCAACTGCCACACATCGATGGTCTCCGCCGCCGCCGGCGTCATCGCCGGCATGGAGGCGCTCGGCCTCCCCACCGCCGACTGCATGGACCACATCACGGCCAGTTTCCCTCCGCCGCCGCCGCCGCCAGTGTCCTCGGAGCAAATGGTTGCGTGCATCATGTCGTGCGACGATACCACCCTCTCGGCCTACCGCTCCTGCAACATGGCGTGCCACGGAATGTACTCCCCGAGCCCACCGCCTCCGCCGCCGCCTCCGTCCGCCTCGCCGTCGCCGCCGCCGCCGTCCGCCTCGCCGTCGCCGCCGCCTCCGTCCGCCTCACCGTCGCCGCCGCCTCTGTCCGCCTCACCGTCGCCGCCGCCTCCGTCCGCCTCGCCGCCGCCGCCGCCGCCGTCCGCCTCGCCCTCGCCGCCGCCTCCGTCCGCCTCGCCGTCGCCGCCGCCTCCGTCCGCCTCGCCGTCGCCGCCGCCTCCGTCCGCCTCGCCGTCGCCGCCGCCGCCGTCCGCCTCGCCGTCGCCGCCGCCTCCGTCCGCCTCGCCGTCGCCGCCGCCTCCGTCCGCCTCGCCGTCGCCGCCGCCTCCGTCCGCCTCGCCGTCGCCGCCGCCTCCGTCCGCCTCGCCGTCGCCGCCGCCTCCGTCCGCCTCGCCGTCGCCGCCGCCTCCGTCCGCCTCGCCGTCGCCACCGCCCGCGCCTCCGTCGCCGCCACCAGCAGCGCAGCCGCCGTCGCCGCCGCCGCCATCGCCGCCTCCCCCAGCTCCGCCGCCCCCATCTCCGCCGCCATCCGCCTCGCCGTCGCCGCCGCCTCCGTCCGCCTCGCCCTCGCCGCCGCCTCCCTCGGCATCACCCTCGCCGCCGCCTCCCTCCGCCTCGCCGTCGCCGCCGCCTCCATCCGCGTCGCCATCGCCGCCGCCCGCGTTGCCCCCCCCTGCTTTGCCTCCGAGCCCGCCGCCGCCCACGCCGCCGCCGCCACAGCCGCCTCCGCCGTCACCGCCACCGCCCGTGACGCCACCGCCCACACCGCCAGCTCCGTCGCCGCCGCCGCCCATGCCGCCGCCGCCGATGCCTCCGCCGCCATCGCTGCCGCCATCGCTGCCGCCCCCCACCCCGCTGCAGCCGCCCCCGCCTTCCCCGCCCCCTCCAGTCCCGCCGCCCTCGGCGCCGCCCCCCGCCTCGCCTCCTTCAATGCCGCCGCCGCCGCCGTTGCCGCCTCCCTCCGCCTCGCCGTCGCCGCCGCCTCCGTCCGACTCTCCTCCCTCGTGCTACCCGGTCTCCGAGGCAGCGGCGGCGGCGCAGGCATGAGAG